CAAAATGTTTGCCTTTCCGTTACTAATAAAATAATAATTGCACAGATGTATAGTTAAGTTGAAAAACAATCTTCTGTTAGATTAATTTCGAGTACAGATCGAATTTGATTTTAAAAGTTTGTTTTTTTTTATAAGATTTAATTTTAATTCAATTACATATATACGTAGAAATGAAAAGCACTTTTTTCTTAAATTTAATATGGTTTCTATAAGCACAAATTATGAATATCCTATAGAAATTGTTTCATTAACGTACAAAATTATATATTTATTATATGTGAATAGGGTTTTATATATATAAATAGGCAAATATAATATATTATACATATCAATTAAATTTCAATTGCGTTGTATATATAAAATAATTATTTTTCTTTAAATATTATAAAAATATTTTTATCGCATATTTTTCCTCCTAATTACACTGATTTATTTCTAACAGACCTCGGCGATCGTACATGGGTAGTAAATTTTTGAGATTCTGTTGCACTATTTTATTATTATAGAGTCTCTTCTTAAAGTTTACAGCTCGTTCGTCTTCTCCCATTAATGCATTGAAATCTGCATCCTTGGTGTCCTCATTGATCATAACTGGTTGAACAACACAAGTTGAGTGTAAAGCTGCAATTTATAATATTCAAACGATATTTATGAGTAACACATTTGTTCATAATATCTATTAAATATACAAAAATATTAATTCAAAAACTTTTAAGATATCAAAAATCATAACAATATTTCAAAAAGGGAAGAAAGTTTCTTAGGATTAATTATGTTAAACAGATATATAATATAGTAAATGATGGCAATAAATTATTGTGTATCATAATCTTTACTAACCTAATACAATAACACATTCAAACTGTTGCCTAATCAGCACTTACTTGGGTCACTCTCGCCCTGATAGCAGCTTGTATGTTTACTAGAACGCAGGGTCTGGCTTTAAAGTACACTAAGGTGGGGACTAAAAACTAGAGCTTTGGTTTTCGTTTCGGTTCAAAACAAAAAAAATATATTGGTTCGATTCTGGTTTTCGCTCCGACAAAAATATAAGCTTTTTCGATTTTGGACTTTCGGTTTTCTGTTCGAAGCCCTGCTAAAAACACGCTTAAAAAAATCTTTAAAAAATACTTTCTGGCCCCATTTTAAGAATAGAGTTTCAAATATTCTTTAAATTTGTAAAAATGCTTCTTACAGAATATTCAAACGAGTTTTAGTTTTTCTAGTAGATCTATAAGTGATTTACAGCCAGATTAACGTAATCTTATCTAGTTTTTATGTATTTGTATTATGTGTATTACATTATATTAAATTCATAAGAACTATCACAATATTTTGAAAATAATATCTCAATAAATCGTCCATTATATATATGGTATTTAAAATTTTGTTCCAATAGGTATTATATTCCAACTTCAGAACTTAAACTTCCTGATTTTAATTAATTATTACTCTGGATATATTATAAACTTACCAAAAAATCGTTTTTCCTCAGCTTGTTGTCGGAATAGTTTTAAACTGGGTAAAGCATGTCGCTGGTAACTTAATTTTGTTAAAGTTTCTATGAAGATTTTATGATAAAACATAAATAAATAATCTTGTTCATTACAACGTAATGGCTCCTTTAGTGAAGTGTTGAAGAAGTGATGTAAGTCCAAAGTGGGAGATCCCCAGAATGCATATTGGAAATCAATTAGTAAAACATCAATTGGAGTTTTTGTGTCAACATCATATTTAAACATAATATTTGTAGTCCAAACATCACCATGAGTTAAAACGTTAATATGCGAAGGAGTTGGAGTAAAACAACATTTACCAATTTCCATATAATGAGGAGCAAGAGCTAACAGTTTTTCACCATATTTAGCATATTCAGGCCACTTGCTGACGTGTTCCCCGCAGGCTATTAAACCACCAACAAAATATGGACTGTAATTATTAGTGTACCGATTAAAGAAACCACGATCATAGGTTTCTAAAGAACCGGATTCCCGTTCGTTGAGCACAGCAGATGTGGCGTGCATTTTAACCAATTTGCGCAGCACCAACTCAACGTGTGGTAAGTCAAGCCTCGTAACACGGTCCGCCATGATATACCCTCTTGCGCTGAGATCCTCGAAAATAATGGCCTGGCGCACATAATCTACATGTAGGGCATTAGCAAATAAATCGTCGCTGTCATTTATATCACGTAAAAGCTTTGTTAGCTTAGGCAATACATTTTCATAGATGCACATTTCACGATTGAAGATATCGTAAGGTTGCATTAGTTTTAAAGCAAATTCATTATCTTCATAGGAAGTTTTAATCATTAGTGACTTTTCGAGTATTTTCTGCCCATGGCTCAGTTGATACTTAACCTTTGCACGTGTCAATATGCCGCCAAAATTTTCACCTTTTCCCATGGCTATATGCAGTTGTAGTTCTATTATTCTCAAGTTTTCATCCTTATGGTGAGTACGCAAAGCCTGTGTCATATACGCCTCTGTAAGCCAATCCGGTACAGACATTTTTCTATAAAAATATTTTCGTTAAATTTCTAAGTTTCTAATATAATTTAAATGCGTTTTAACAGCTTTTATATGGGAAAATTTTCTTTGTCTAGTGAAATGTCTACTCAAATATTCAGTGTCAAGTTTAAGTCTTAATTTTATGTGTGGAAATAAATAAATTAAAATTTTTATGAATGCGTCATGTATGCTTCGTGAGTTGTACAGCAATTACTTCAATTGCATTGAATTAAAGATAAAAACAATTCACATTAACCTAACCTAGAGATTTGTTCCCCAAAGTGCATCTTATCTACTTTTATTGCACTTTATTGAAATTTATTGCTCAACCATAAATTATTTCCTTGTTTATAGCTTGCTCAACGAATTTGCATTCATACACTCGCACAAATTAAATTTAAGAAATAAATTTAGAGGGGGTCCAACTCTGAAAGTCGTATTTGCAACGTCTACAACTAGTCTACGCCGGACTCAAATGCATCATTTGCTAACTAAAAATTCTTCCATGCCGTACCATATTTAATTCACAAAATTTATGTAAATATTATCTTTAGCTGCCTTTATCAGCCCTTTTTTATTTATTTATATATCTCTAATCAGTTAATACCAAGTTGATTTAAAACAAAAAAAAAAAAAAGAAAGAAAACAATAATAAATTTACTTAAATAAACCAATATTTACAAAGCATTTAATTAATAAAAAATCTGGCTACTTGGTAACAACAAACTACGAGGACAGTAACAAAAGCTAGTAAGATGAAATAGGAAATAGACACTACATATGCTGGCTCTACATAGGTGAAGTAGAGGAAGAATCGAGTTATAAAAAGCCTTTTCGATTCCATCTTCCGCGTCCTACCACTAGGGGGCATTGATAAATGCATTTAACTGGTCAATATTAATGTTGGAAACATAATTAAGTAAATAAAGAAATAGTGTGCCTAAAAGCATAAGCTTAGATTTGGATAAATCTGAACGGAGATTTAAGAGGTATACCGTTGTCTGGTCTTCGAGCACTAGTAAATATGTTATACAAGTTTTTGTGTAGGTTAGGTCCTGTCTGCCTTCATCTCATTCTATAGTTCAGTGTGCCATTAACGCCGATATTAATTCAGATACTTCCTACTTACTGCTATAGATTAGGTCAGAGATTCTACATTTGGAATATATAAGCCATATCGCTCTTAAATTGTTTGTTGTAGAAATATTATCCCAACTTTTGGCTGGTAGGGATAAGGCTTGTAATGAGAAATTCCATCGAACAGGCGCCCAGTTTTGTTTGCATGTCCAGGAACCCAAATGAGTCTTACCTTGCAATTACGAGCTATATTTCGTCGTTTTCAATTTTGCTGAGGTATCACTCAGTCACGGTCCGGGTCGTTGCAATAAATTTGTTTTATTGACTCGTTCGAAGCTCTGAGACCAAGGAAAAGCAAAGACGCTATTTGTAGTGTTAAAATGTATAAATAGATTTTTATGCAGACGAAATTATTGCATTGTAATATTTTTATTAAGAGAATTTTAGTAAAAATTGTAATTTTAGGTAGGGCGGAAATTTGTATAAAATTCCGTCCTTACAACTATATATATTGTACAGAATTTATTTTCCAAAGAAAGTAAGATATTCCAACTACATTTATGTTGTTTCCAATTTACCACATACACCTTTTGTTAAAAAAAAGCTTTGAAAAAATTAAGTTATATTATATCGGTAATATCAGTGTGATTCGCACTGTTAATGAAATTATTCAATTTTACTATAATATTTTATGGTCAAATCCTTCTATGGATAAATACATGTGGTGTCTACCATCACGAGATATAGTTTGTAAACATCTGATTTAACTTTGCGTGAAGAAACTCAAGATGAAAGTGTGATTTTGACTTCAAGAGCAAAACATTTATTATCCTCTTCATCTGTCTGTTACTATTGCAATAGAACTTGTTCTATTAGTTCTAAAGTGGTACTAAAAGAAGTACTAAAAGTAGTACTAAAAGTACTACTATTCGACTACTAATACTACTACTATAATATTACATGGTTCTGGTTATCCAAGAAAGGCGGTTATCCAAATACATTGGTCATATATTGGTACATCTACCAATCTAAAATATTTTTATTCATTAAAGTCTTATTAACAAAGATTTTACAATACAAACAAATCCTTTCATTTGTCTGAGCCTTATATATATAAAGATATATAATGCATTATAGATATATATGCATTAGATCCTTAAGTAATGTATTAAGACTAACGTTCTGAGCATGCTTGTTGTGTACTCGTTATGACCCATTCAACTCACTTATTTTAATATATTAGATTTAGTTTTAATTTTAATTTTCTTAGAACTATTGTGAGCCATATATTTCACTCTGCAGTTTCTTTATTTTAAAAGATAATTTTTTTTTAAGTTTTCGTGTTCCACCTACGATGTATTTAATTAGCAAAAAGTTTACGACTAAAGTAAGATTAGGTTTTTTTCCTATATATACATAAAGTTAATAATCTGTTGTGTAATGTTTGTAACTGATCGTACCATAAACCACCTTTGAAAATTATTAATTAATTTACATTCCTCAAGTTATATGGGCTTTTTTGTTTATATTAAATTTTATTAAAAAAATTTATAACCCTTATCTTCGCTATTTTAAAATCTATTAAAAGTTTTAATTTTGTTAAGTTTTTTATTGAAAGTCATTTGAATGTCACAAGATTCTAATGTACTTTTTAATTATAGAAGATCCAAATAAATGTTTTGATTCTAATTTTTATTATTGAAAAATAATTACCTTGACTCTAATTCAATCGTTATTAGATAATGCTTATTATATCTACATCTTTGTTATATAGTATATTATGTTCTCATTACTTGGGGTTATTCACCTCATATTTTTACATACATATGTATGTATATTAATTATTATTACATTATGATAGTTTATTAAGACAAAATTTATTTAAATTTATTTATATTATTTCCATCCAATTATATTTCTTTAGAAAGGTTCGAATAGAAATGAAAAGATAACAACAAAAATTTTAGCTAATTTATTGAAATTTGATTAACCATACAACGCTGTTTTGAGTATTGTTAAGTA